CTCTCTCTCTCTCTCTCTCTCACATGTCCATAACAGTTCCCTTTAGAGGATATCTCCAATCTCATCTCTTTCTTCTTCTCAGAATTCAGATGCCCAATATGGAAACCTTTTCCTAGAATTTGTAGTTAAATACCGTCGGTTTTGTGGGTTCTCTGCAATTCTATATCCTGAATCCTATCCTTGGGTGCACAGATGATTCACACCATTTATGAGAAGTTCCTTCCTATCTTTTCTGTTAGATTGGAATCTAGAGTCTGCCCATGACGTTGTGATTTACTCTTGCTGCAACTTGAGCAGGTGATGTTCAGGTTAGGGTTGAAAAACATCCAAGTTCGGTTAGGGTTGAGGCTTTGAACAATTCAATCCAATCTAGATATTGGGTTTAAGATATTTAGACTGCGTTTGGTTGTCATTTGCACTAGTCTAAAATGTAAATGCATGAGAGTGGTGTAAATTTTGGATTACTTGCTTCAGATTTGGCTTCATCTTTTGTGTGAGAGTAATATCTATCTATCTATATATATATAGTGAGAATCATGATGAGAAGTTCCTGCAAATGCAAATGGATGCCTTCTATATCCTGAATCCTATCCTTGGGTGGACAGATGATTCACACCGTTTATGAGAAGTTCCTTCCTATCTTCTCTGTTAGGTTGGAATCTAGAGTCTGCCCATGACGTCGTGATTTACTCTTGCTGCAACTTGAACAGTGATGTTCAGGTTAGGGTTGAAAAACATCCAAGTTCGGTTAGGGTTGAGGCTTTGAACAATCCAATCCAATCTAGATATTGGGTTTAAGATATTTAGACTGCGTTTGGTTGTCATTTGCACTAGTGTAAAATGTAAATGCATGAGAGTGGTGTAAATTTTGGATTACTTGCTTCAGATTTGGCTTCATCTTTTGTGTGAGAGTAAAATAGGAAGCCAATTAATGATGTGATTCTCACTATATATATATATATATATATATATATATATATATATATATACCAAAGAGAATGGAGGATTTAGAATTATTTGTTTTGGAGTGAGTAGGAACAAAGATGACAGGGTCTCCACCTTATATGAGAAGGTCTTGAGATGCAAAATTTGGACTGTCAATAAATGCAAATGGATATATCAGGTATAGGAGTACAAATCATGGTTACAAACAGTGAACGGCAAACCCAACCCAAATATTGGTTAAGATTGAGAGTTTCACAACTAAGGTTGTATAGGGTTGTCTCTATCAACAGCATCTGATGCCGGACATCTCATATATGACAGTTCCATTTTTATGGTGGGCTTCAATTTCAAAATGATGTGTGTCAGATCAAGTTGATAATGTGTCAAATCCCAACTCCTTGGATCTTTTACCTAGAGCTGTTCTCACATCTCTATCCACGAAACATTAATTCACTCCGGCCATGGTTGACCAGATCTTACTCGACCCGATCTCTGATCGGTTCAACCTCGAGAGCTCGACCAAGATCCTGTTTTGGGCTTTGATTTTGATTGGGCTCCACTAATAAAATAACCTCTAACCGTCCGATGAGGTAAAACCTATCACAAAATCCACCGGGATGCCAGCTTGGATCTTTCCATGATCACGTGACATCATGTTTTCGTGGTGGCCCGTAGGATTGGTGACGCTGGGTTCGGGTCATTGAGATTTGTGGCGTACAATGCTACATGTACGAATTGGTGGATTCCGTAAGGGATACAGCACCCCGTGATGACGCACTCAGCCTAGCATTTCTTACGCAGTAATCGCATTCACTACCTAACCCACCAAACAGCAGCTCTCATGTGGGGCCCAAACATCACATAGTCCGATAGTCGCCACCTTTCGCAATCGGGAGTCGGGACCCACATCCACTATTCTATTCCTCCACTTCAATTCGCAATGTGTGCAACCCGGCGTGCGTTAGTTTTGATCATCATGTGTTTATGTTGTGATACAGTGAGCGCTTTGAACTCGATTTTCCGACAATGGGAAATCTCAGCTGGTAATTCGTGGAATATCAGTGGAGAACCGTGCAGCGGAGCAGCCCTCAATTCCACTGACATCGATAACACTCCCGAGAACCCTGCGATCAGATGCGACTGTAATTACAATAACGGAACCACCTGCCACATTACAAAGCTGTACGTGTTCCTCTCTCCCTCTCTCTCTCTCCCAAGACTCTAAATTCAACCATCACGACCGGGTTTGAATGATTCGGCTGGTTTTTTCACGACACGCCCGGGTCAGGGCCTGTTTGGTTTTCGGCAATAAAGATTTAAAATAAAAGAAATGGTTCATTTCGATTCTAATTATTTGGTTGAACGGAATCAAAATCCCGTTTTCATTCCTGGTGAAACTGACATTCTCCCATATGAGAAAATGGTCATTCCCTCTCCCTCCTCTTGGAATGAATCCAGTCCAGCCAATGGTATGGTGTTTGTGAAAAAAAACGGTACTATATCAGACTTACATCATCTTATATCTTTTTATTCTATATATTGATTATTTGTACGATTCATAATCAAATCGTTTGGCCCATAACGGGACATTGTTCTCTCTCAAGCTTTATTTTGTTTTGTTTGCTTTGACAGAAGAGTATATGCGTTGAATGTGAAGGGGGTGATACCAGACGAGCTGGCCAATTTGACTTATCTCACCAACGTGTATGGTTTCTTTTCAATCTCTACCTTTTAGTAAGCTTTATCTTCTTGTTTAATCATTCTTGGTTTGTGGTCTCCAACGCTCCACGCTCTTTGAAGTTGATGGTTCATCAACCACGTTGAGTTTAATATATATATATATAGATATATAGAGCACTATTTTGTAACATCGATTATCAATTTTTGGATGGGTTTGGGTTGAGCATTTGTTAAAATTTAAATGAATCGGGCCTGAGAGTTTCGACTCAATACTGTATAAATTCTTTTAATCCGGGTATTCGATGTGTTTTCCTAAAGTATTAGTTGGGTATATATGGGATCCTATATCATATCCATATTTAGTGGGTTTGGATTATTGACATGGCATACCTTAAAAATGGATGTGTAGGAGTTTGTTTGTAGAACGTAAAATTAACATTTCTTGCTCATGGGGTGAACTCTAATCATTCTAGTTTAAGTTGAGTTTATGAATTTATATGTTACTAACAATAAGTACATGTTTTGTATGTGGCAATTTTAGATGATAAAAATAATAGGAATAATATTTTTGCAAAATTTTCAATTTTTTTACTTTTATGTATATAAAAATAATTATTATTTATCACACTTATTTTTATATATTATGATGAATATGTAATATTAGAGATGTACCCAATTGTTTTCCACAAAGCTTATGTATTTTTTTTCATTTTTGGTGTTTTATATTTTTTTGAGTTTTATTATTCAAGTATGACATCAAGGGCTAAAACATTTGACCCGAAAGGTTGAACTATTGACCTGTCACCAAACAATAAAACAATTTTGTTTTTTTTGTCAGTTTTAAATTTTGTATTTCATCATTAATAAAAACAATTCTTACTTATCATACTTATTTTTCTTTAATACAATTAAATTAATAAAAAATATCAGATTTGGGCCTAAATTTTCCACCTTTTTTTTTTAAATTTTTGTATTTATTTGTATCTTAAAAAATTATTATTTAACTATGACATCATAGGTCAACCCATTTGACCTAGATGGTTGAATTGTTAATCCACCACTTAGACAAAAGAATGGTTTCATATTGGGTTGACTTTAAAATACATTGGTTTTCTATTATTAATAGTATTTGGATATAGATATAATTAGTATAATTGATTGATGAGAAAAATATGAATTCATACCTTAGACATAGGAGTTAATGGGGAATTGAATGAGGTGAAAAATAATAATTCAATTTTTATGCCCTCACAATTGAGAAAGACCAAATTCATTAGTAGGTACATTTTAATCAAGAAAAGTTCCACAAGCTGATTGTTATTTTTAATGGTAGTATCTATATATATATATATAGATAGATAGATAGATAGATAGGATTGAATCTGGTTTGAGTTATACTAAACTGGAAAGATATGGATTTATCTATATGTATCCTAGTTGGATTTGGATCCAATAACGCATAAAAATTTTTTAGACCCGGACTTAAATTAGTTAATTAGATCTACTAAATATCCAGCCCATCCCATGCCCAAGACAGTGTACACTCCATCAAAAACACTTATCATATATTGATGATCCAACATATATACCCCAACCCTTGGTGTGGGTTTCCCTTCTTTGTTGCTTTCTCATTGTTTGGCTTAGTTTGTTTGCAGTGCAAATTTCTTTTGCTTTGGCTCAGTTTGGAAGGAGTTTTGCACTGTATGTATTTATACTCTTTCCAAACTGAGCCTTTGGTATAATGCAGGGAGTGCAAATAGACTGAGTATACATTCTGGTTTATGTTTCTTTCAAATTTAACTTATTTGTTTATTATTAGTAAAATATGGAGTTAAATGATATGAACTCCATGTTATATGAAAGAGAATGGAGGTGGGTGAAAGTTATTTGTTTAGGAGTGAAGTAAGAAGCAAGAGGATGTCCCACTTTATATGAGAGAAAATTGAGGAGGGGTCGAGGAATATTGTACAAAAGTTTTGCATCCGTTTTTCCGATGAAAAATCCAAACTGTCAATTAATATAAATGAAATGAAAACTACAAGTTTTATATCAGATAAGAATGCAAATCATTATTACAAATGGATGTAAAACTGAACCGGGTGCAACATTGTATCCTTTTAGGTTTACAACGCAAAAACAAAAGAAAAAAAATAGTAAAATATTAATCAATCTATCAAACATTAATATATGAATAGTATTCATGGAATTGATTAATTTATTCTATGGTAATGGATTCATGGACAATACTTTGAGGCCTAATGGATTCGTGGACAATACTTTTAGGTTTAAGCAGTACTGATGCTGCTAATTGATTCATTTGTTGTTACCATTATTGTTAAGTGCTATTGTAATACTGTTCTTGCAGGAAGCTGGATCAAAATTACTTGACAGGTCCAATGCCCGCATTTCTTGGCAATTTATCTTCAATGCAATACTTGTAAGTCAACCTTTTTATTGAAAATTTGATACAAGGAAAGTTTTAGGATTATATTACTACATTCATTTAACAATTATTTGAAGCATGTATGGTTTTAAAAAACAGCCTGGAATTTTTCTGGTCACCGGTTTTTGAGAGGACGGTACGATCGTCTAGTTTGAATAAATAGTTTATTTTGACAAAAATAATTAAAAATGGCCAAAACTGCTGAATGGATTGATGGTTCGACCGCCCAGGTCAACAAGTCATTAACCTTTTCAACAGTTTTTTGCCAGAGACCAGGTTTGGGGTAAAATGGAACCGGTTGCTTGAACGGTTATCAAGCTGAACAGTCCCCATCCGGGTCAACAACAGTTCAAAAACCATGGAAGCATGCATAAAGGTAATGGAATTTTAATGTGACCATCTCAATCACATATTAATCTGATATTTGGAGAAACAAAAGCCAAAACAAGCAATTTTCTGGTTTTTGCTTTTGAAAAAGAAAAATGTCTTCTAGAAATCCCAAACAAGGCTTTATTGCTTTGTTTGTGTGTAACACTACTTGTTTATTTTTCTTGCTAGGTCATTTGGTATCAATGCATTGTCCGGAAGCATCCCAGCCGAGCTTGGAAAACTTACAGACTTGCGTTTACTGTAAGATCAACCTTTCTTTTAAAAATGAACAATAATGGAAATTAAGGTTTGGTGTTTAAATGCCAAGAAGTAAGAACAGACTCAGTAAGCTTAGGCTATACCTTGGCAACATTTGTCTTAACGCAACCCAAGCACTCAAAGGGACCTTCCTCCCTCCCTCCCTTTGAATCCATCATTTAGGGATGATAATTTTTTCCATAAAATCAGGGCCTCAATCAATTATGCCCGAATAGAGTAAGTTTTTTCCAATCTTAAATGAGGACAGGCAGAGATGAGAAAATTTTCTTTTTGCCTTGAATCAGGGATGAGGTCTGTATATAATTCCTAACCCACCCCCAAATTTAATGATAAATTACTAAAATAGCCCCTGGTTTAACATTAATTTTTAATATACCATTGAGTATGGAAGGTGATCTAGGGTTTCTATAATTCTATTGTCCCCAAATTCCCAAAAGTCTAGGATTCCATAATTCTATTTCTAAAATACTCCCTAGATTTAATGTAATTTTTAGGGATTTCCTCGAGGGGGAGAAATGGCAGGGACTCCCCATATGGGGGGTTGAATTCCTGCCCCACCACCCCAGGGAAGGAGTGTTGCCGGAGATTTTGGCTACATGGTGGGAACATGGAGGGGTGCCCGCTGCATTGCTATTCCTGCCATCATTGGAATAAAAAGAAATTAGGATCTGCTCCTCACACCAACCTGACATCACAACTACACCCCAAAATGTATTGGGAACATCTCCCCATAAATAATAAATACAAGTATAGGAGAAATTCCTAATTTGCATCCAGAACATGCTGTGAGATTGGTTTGAGAAGCATTTTGTGAGGAACAGATTCGGACTCAAATAAAAGATGTGTTATTGTACGGCTAATCACTGACCCGCTCAAACTGGGCTTTGGGTCTATGTAACTAAATATATTATATCTAATACATATTATATGATATTTAATCAGCCCTACATTGGTCCACCAATTCATCTATTTTAAGCATTAGTTAGGTTGGAAATGCCTTGATAGATAGGGCCCTGAGGTTATGGATGTGGAAGATCTTATATACTTCAACTATAAACTTTTCTTCAGAGTGCTGATTGTACTAATTTATTAATTTTAGCCACCCAAGTTCTTTGTATTGATTTTATTTTATTTTTGTTCCATGATTTGATACTAAATATCATTGTTTTGTTAATTTTGTTTTCTACAGGGCTTTTGGTTCAAATAACTTTTCTGGGCCACTCCCTCCGGAAATCGGGAATTTAGTCAAACTTGAACAAATGTAAGTAGGTTTGTAAAGGTTTTTCTACCATTTTCTTCCTTTCTCTACCTTTTCCTTCAAATCAAAAACAGCATAAGGAAAGAAATATAAGGATTGATGTTTAATTTGATGATATTATTTTTTTTTTAACTTGTCAGTTACATAGATAGCTCTGGAGTGAGTGGTGAAATTCCTGCAACATTTGCTAAACTAGTAAACATGCAGATTTTGTAAGGCATTGTGATTATGATCATACTTAATTTTTAAGGTTTTGATCTTTAATGTTTAGAAATAATTTATTTATCTCACATTTCCATAAAAAATTGGATGTTAGGTGGGCATCAGATAACAACTTCACCGGCAAATTACCTGAATTTATCGGGGATTGGACAAAGCTCAAAACTTTGTAAGATACCATTTTGTTTGTTTTGCTGTCACATAATCATTTTCTGGGCCTAGGGAAGTTGTTTACTTAGGTAAATGCATTTATTCGTGTTCTTTTCTTGGGAAAGAGCCTTATTTTTTTATTTTTTTTTGTAGTAGTAGAGGCATTTCAGTCTCACAATAGTTTGGTCAGTATTCCTCCTATGTCGATAAATTTACCTAGAAAAGTGATAAAAAATTTACACTTTCCATGAACATTGCGAAAGAACATGAAAAAATTGATCAATTGGCACATTGACTAACCCCCTCCCCCAAACTTGTAGCATGATTATTATGTTATAGTTTTCACTAAATTTACATTCAATAAGGTTTTTCTTAATAAAATTAAATTTGGTAATGTAGGAGATTCCAAGGGAATTCTTTTGAAGGTCCAATACCATCAAGTTATTCAAATTTGACTTCATTAACAGATTTGTAAGTTCTCTTTTGTTATTTAAATTTAATTTAGACTCATTATTATACTGATTATCTATTGTATGATATTATGTAGGCGAATAAGTGAATTATCTAATGCCAATTCGACATTGGATTTCATTAAGGACATGAAGGCCTTAACTGTACTGTAAGAGACTTTTCTAATCCATTCAATGATACATGTAATTTTTTTGGGTGCAACTATTATGTGGAAAAGATATGATATCTAAAAAACAACTGACCAATAAAGTTGAATCATAAACGTGGTAGGAAATAAGGTGCTATTTATCAAAAATCATGGATGGATTTTGATTGGTGAAAACTCCTTTCATACCATATATTTTCCGCATCATAGATTTATCCTTTTTATATTCAATTTCACTTAGATAATTTTCTGTTTTATATAGGATTTTGAGAAATAATATGATTTCGGGTACTATTCCATCTAGTATTGGAGAGCTTCAAAGTTTGCAAAAATTGTAAGTTGCTACTTTCTTTAGTAGTTTGTATAGATAATTGTTTTACAATAGTGATTCATTATACTCATTTAGCATAAAAGATAGGGGAAAATCGAAATGGTTGAAAATTTTTTAATTTTATTTTTTTGAATAAAGTAAAGTAAAATGAAGAATAATTTGCACTAACTATTTTTTTTAATCACATATATTTCTTGCAGAGATTTAAGCTTCAATAATTTAAGAGGAGAGATTCCAAGCTCTTTATTCAATTTGAGTTCTCTATCTTACTTGTAAGTAGCATGGAAACTCTTTTTTTTTTTCATCCTTCCATATAAAGAAAACAATATATGTATCTGTAATTCATGGTATTTGTTATTTATGGTTAGGTTTCTTGGAAACAACAACCTTTCTGGTTCCCTTCCTCCTCAAAGCAGTGGAAATCTTGTCAGCATGTAGGTTTTAATGATGTATTTCTGTTATATTAAATTTTGATTTATATTTTCTAAACAAATGATTCATTTTGATTTTGACTACCTTAGGTTTTTCTGTTTGTTATTATTATTATTATTTTTGCAAATCTCAATAGATATCATTGAATGGTGAGTCAAAGTTTTATACATGTGCGATGCTTATTTCATACACAACCATTTTTAGCTACTTTTTTGTTTTTATTTTTATGACTTAAGTAATTACTAACAAATGTTAATATGCTCTATATGCAGTGATTTGTCCTATAATCAATTATCAGGAAGCTTTCCTTCATGGGTGAACAAAGATTTACAATTGTATGTATGAAGAAGTTAGACTCATGTCGTTTGCATATGACTACTATGAAATGCAAATGTTATAGTAAGGAAACATGTTTCACAATACTAAGTACTATGAAAGCACATAAATTATAATGTTGCACTCAAGAACTATAAATGGTTCATCCATTATTTACAAGATTTACAACATAAATATATAGTGGTCTAGGAATTAGGGGTGATTTTGTAGCCCGGCCTAGCCCAATCCCATCCCACAAAATTTTGGGCTTGGGCCTAAGTTTTATATTTAGGCCTGGCCCGACCAGCAATATATTTATATCATCAACATTAGCATTCAAGTCTTATCCTAATTATATAGGTTCAGTTATTCTAATCTTGTTTAATGTTATATCCATTGTTAAATTATGAGCAATTAAATAATTTGCTACTATTTCAATCACGTCCTTTTTTTATCTACCTCTAGCCATTTTAGCCCCTTCGGCTTGTTTTATTCCATTAATTCTGTTTAATGCTATATCTATTGTTAAATTATAAGCACTTAAATCATTTGCTACTACTTTAATCCATGCTCCTTTTGATCTACCCCTAGCTTTTCTAGTCCCTTCAACTTGTAATTGATCATTTTTATTATGGGTGCTATACAAGGACTTCTATGCACGTGACCAAACCGTTCAAGTCTACATTTGTAATAGTGTTATTTTTACACGAATTATGTTTATATATAATTGCTCTAATAAAAGAGGCCCTCTTTCTATTTTTTATTATATAGTGAGAAATTGTATAGTTCAATATGATGTTGTGTATGTTTTCCCTTACACTAATATATAAAATAAAAGTATATACATCCATACTTTTAAATGCAAGCTACTTGTGTGGTGAAATTTGCAGGAATTTGGTTGCCAACAATTTTGTATTTGATGATTCAAATTCTAGGTAAGTTATTATATTTTTCAACCATACAAAAGCATTCTTAAACAATGAAAATAGATTACATTGTCTTTCCTATCTATTTTTCTTTTCTTTTTTCTAGTATAAATTGAAATCTTTCTTCATTCTCAAAAATTATCGTTGTGTATATACAGTTCTCTTTCTCCAGGCATAGATTGCCTTCAACGGAATTTTCCATGCAATAGAGGTTCTCCACGTTGTAAGTATTTTCATATTTATTGTTGTGTATGTACAATCTTCTTTCTTATTTAGCTTGTAATTTTTTCATATTTCCCTCCAATATATAATTGTGGCAATATCTATTATGATGCTCAGAATTTCTTCTTTAGGTTGTAGTTGTTTCATATTTTTATTCCATAATTGTGAAAATGTCCTTTAAGCAACTGCACTTTTGTAAAGCTTTAATTTTATTCATGGAATGCCATTTAGCCTTGAGAGTGTCACATTAAATTCATGAGCAACAGATGACTAATAGCATTCCTCATTGGATGGTTGTCAAGAACCTAAGATACAGGCAATAGAACCAATCATTTTATATGCAAAACAAAGTTTTGATCTTTATAGTTTAGCATCTTTTTCCATATAACCTATATCTGTTCTACTATTAAAATTGTGAATGAGTGTAGAACTTCTGTTTGACTAAAATAACTCAATTTTTAATTTGGTCACAATTTAATTGCAAGAACTAAAATGTAATTTGAATAATCACTTTGTTCTTATTCAAATCCATTTCATTAAATCTTATATTTAAAGTATTAATTCCCATTATCATTCATTGAATCCTACGCGTGACTAGAATATCCTTATTTTTGAATTTAGTATTTCTTTAATTGTGAAGGCACAAAATGTAATTTGAACTATTCCATTTCTCTTCATTCAATTCCCTCTCATTAAGTCTTATTTTTAGGGTATTAACTCTCATTCTCTCATTGAATTCCATGTTTAAGTTTATTTTACCAATAAATTCTATTAATTAAACTTATATCCAGTACTTTTAATAACATAAAATACATGCTTTTTAAAATTGACCCAAAAATGGAACTATTGTTACATCCTTGTGACAAGTAAGCAATATAATTCAACCATTTAGGTCAAATGGGTCAATCCATGATGACATAAAGAAATAAAAATATTTTAAAATAGAAATAAATACAAAAAAATAATATATATATATTAAAGAAAAATAAGTGTAATAAATGAAAATAATTCTTAATATGTTAAAATAAACTATATATTTAAAACCAATCCATGGTGGTAGGTCAACAATTCAACCTTTTGAGTCAAATGTGCGAACCCTTGATATCAAAATTAAATAAAAATTAAAAAGGATAAAAACAAAAAAGCATAATGTAATATTATAGAAATTTGTAAAAAGCATTTAGGCACTTATCTAATATTTTCTATTAATCATATCAAATAAGAATAAGTGTGATAAATAATAGTTGTTTTTATTGATGTTGAAAATAAAATATTAAACAAAAATAAGAATAATTTTTATAGACAAAAAAATATAAAATAATTGTAGAAAATTTTGGAAACATATTATTTATTATCATCTTCATCATCATCATCATCAAAAATTGTCACAAGCAAAGCACATGCCCACTTACTAGTCAAGTAAAATCCCCTCCAAGCAATTCATTTGGTTCTTCCTTGAACATCTGATTTCATGAACATTCAGCATCAGTGATGCATATGCAAACTTTTCAATCAAGTGGAAGATAGGTCTATCCTATATTTAGTTGATTCATATTTATGCTTATGCCCTATATTGGAACTAACTTCGATATTGACAACTTGTTTTGACAGATGCAAACTTTTCAATCAAGTGTGGTGGTCTAGCCATGGCATCTACTGCTGGTCGACTTTTTGAAAGAGAAAATGAAACTCTGGGACCAGCATCATATTATGTAACAGATACCCAAAAATGGGGAGTTAGCAATGTTGGACTGTTCAATGATAGAAATACCCCAAGTTATTTCCAAATGACCTTATCACAAATTTCAGGTGCAGGTATTTTAACCTCTGAGTTCTTCCAAACATCAAGGCTATCTCCAGGATCACTAAGATACTATGGCCTAGGTTTGGAAAATGGAGTCTACACAGTAAGCCTTTGGTTTGCTGAGACAGGAATCGATGATGCAAGCACAGAAACTTGGAAAAGTCTTGGCAGGCGTGTTTTTGACATTTATATACAGGTATACATAATAGTGGGTTTATGTCCTAAATTCCAGGAACCCTCATTGTTATTTCAACTCATTTCTAATTTACTGGAGTATACATAAAGCTTATTGAGGTTTTTCGGCCACAACCCAAATCATTTACTAAAAGAAATGGTCAGAATAGAATCTATAATTTTTATTTTGGGATCTTGAGCTCATTTTAATCATTGAATTTCTCAAATTTATCTTACA